TTGGAGGAGGCTGGGAGTAATAGAGTATTTTTTTTGTTCAGTTCACAACCGCCCTATAGAATATTTACTACTACAGGGTGGCCACTCTGTGCAAATTCACATAAATATATATATATATATACACACATGACTCTGCACTACCATGTTGAGGGGGCACACGTGCGCTCCAGGTTAGTCACAGCAGAAGCTGATCAGTGTGCACTGGCCAATGAATGACCGCTGGCACACGCTGATTGTCGAGAAGAAATGGAAACAAGGCAGAGCTGTGTCCTGTCAGTGTGCTGGATTTTGTTTACCTGCAAAGCAAGGAAGAAAATCCAGCACATCCCCTGGTAAAAAACACGAGTAAACACAAAATCACTGGTTAGACACAGTTAACCATTTTGATTGCCCTAGATTTTTAACCCCTTCCCAGCCTGTGTCATTAGTACAGTGACAGTGTATATTTTTTTAGCACTGATCACTGTATTAGTGTCACTAGTTCCCAGAAAGTGTCAGTTAATGTCAGATTGTCCGCTGCAACATCGCAGTCCCGCTGATCGCTGCCATTACTAGTATAAAGAAAACATAATGCAAACTTCCAGTATATATACCATAGTTTGTAGACACTATAACTTTTACACAAACCAATCAATATACGCTTATTGGGATTTTTTTTTTACCAAAAGTATGTAGCAGAATACATATTTGCCTACATTTATAGAGAAATTAGATTTTTACATTTTTTTATTGGATGTTTTATAGCAGAAAGTAAAACATTATATGTTTTTTCTTTTTCAAAATTGTAGGTCTGTTTTTGTTTATAGAGCAAAAAATAAAAACCCAGAGGTTATTATTATTATTATACAGGATTTATATAGTGCCAATAGTTTCCTCAGTGCTTTACAATATAAAGGGAGACAATACTGCAACAGTACAGTTCAATACAAAAGGTTAGGAGGGTCCTGCTCTTTGGAGCTTACAATCTAAGTGGTGATCAAATACCACCAAAAAAAGTTCTATATATGGGAAAAAAAAATTACATAAAATTAATTTATGTACAGCGTTGCATGACTGTGCAATTGTCAGTTAAAGTAGCGCAGTGCCACATTATAGCAAAAATGGTCTGGTCATGAAGGGGGGTAAATCTTCCGGAGGGTAAGAATGTTATGAATACATACTTGAGTAGAGTTTAGAGTTACTAAATTCTAAGAAAAATTTAAGTCAGCAGGCAAAAAGGGTGAATAATTGGTGCATCACATCTTATATTTATTTACTCAGCACTATTTTTGAAGGTGGTATAGATACGAATCTACTGAAATTAATAACATGTATGACTAGGAGTAACTATTTATACATGGAAACTGTTAATATTGTTGTACGTTATATGTCACAAATAATTTTCCTGAATTTGCTAATAACAGGTTAGCAGAGGACCAGTGCTGAAAGACTTTGGGGGGGGGGGGTTTGTTGCATTAATACGTTAATGTATATAAAGATACAAATACTAAAATCTCATATAAGCTTATACATATGTTAATGTTCTTCCAAAATTCATTTTTAATCTTTTTAAACCTACAGCTTTTATCAAAACAGTAGCTGGTGATCCTGCCAACAAGGACCTTGTACGGGCAGTCATGCTATGGGGTGGCAACTGTCTCCCAATTCTTTTCCTGGTTTATCACACCATTGCATGTGTATTTGTTCGAGACTGTAAGAGGCCATGCTGACACATATTAGTCCATGTTACCATCAGGATGCCCTCCTTGAGTAAATAGGACAGCAACCACTGAAGTGTATTGCGTCAGGAAGTGGCTGTAAAGAAGCTGAAGAAGATCAGCTGCAATAAAATACAACAAAAGATTTAAAAAGGTGAAAAAAAGTAATTACCAAAAACAAACTTGCCAATTGTGTGTGATACCCAGGGCTTTAGCCAAATAAATGTTATCCAGGGTACTTTGAAGCTCAACTCTGGGCTAAGCTTACCTCCCCCACCCCCACAGGAGCCCCCATGCAGTATTTTATTTGGTTTTTTTTATTAACATATTTCAGATGACTTCAGGTCAATAAAGTAAGTGTGTCTTCTTTGTCTTTCTCTTCTGACATAGAAGACAAATATATTTGAAATATATTTTAAAAATATTCTTCCCAAATATATTGCCATATATTTGAAATGCTACAATTTGGCCATATATTTCAAAATATATTTCAATACATATATATATAAATGTATTTTTAAAAATATTTTCACATATTTTGTAATAAAAGTGCATTTCAACATGCAGTATATACAGTATATATACAGTATATATATATATATATATATATATATATATACACTGCATGTTGAAGTGCGCTTTTATTACAAAATATGTGAAAATATTTTTAAAAATACATTTCAAATATACTGTATGTCTTTAAAAATACAAATCTACATTTTTGGAATCCATTTACAAATATATGTAAAAATATATGTTAAAATTACTTTTTTTATATGTTAAAAAAAACCTAAAGAATATAATTAAAAAATATATAATATATTTTGAAATATATTGAATATGGCCACAATTGTAGCATTTCAAATATATGGCAATATAGTTGGGAAGAATATTTTTCAAATATTTTTCAAATATATTTTTCTTCCATATGGGGCTTTCCATTGCCTTATGCAGGGAGTGGCCCTGACCTTCAATATGCTGGGCCATTAACACCCCACATGCCTAATATGGTATCACTCTTTCAGGCTGAATAACACTGGATGTTAGGCTGGCCATACATTATGCAGTTTTCTTTCCATCATCCACGGTATCGTATTCTGATAGTGGGAAGATTCCCCGCTGTCAAAATACAATGATTACTGCTTGCAGCTAAAGCTGCCGCAGTGATCATATGAAAAAAAAAAAGACTGGTTGTACTGAAATCAACTGATAGATCTACTCCAGTAACTTCAGTACAACCAGACTGCCCATGGGGGGATGGATTGAAATTTGGTCGGGTCCTGCTGAACCAGCTGAATTTCAATCTGTCTATGGCCAGCTTTTTTATGCCCAGAAGACTGAGGACAAAAAAAAGAAGTACTGCAGAATCTATGCACACTAGGGGCAGAAAAAAATGCCAGAACCTCGGAAGAAAAAACGCTCATAGTGGCTTGTATTGCACAAGCGTTTATTCACAAGACTTTATGGGCCTGAGCTGCATCTTTCACACTGTATGTTGCCTGTTTTAGTTAAAAAAATTACTTGGAGTTGGGCTTTAAGGTAAATATATTAATGTGGTTCTTGAAGTAGACGTATAAGTCATATATTGGTATATAGGGTGATCATTCTTTGTGTGTTCTTTTATATTTGTTAATTAAAATATCTTTCCCACTATGGTTAATCCCACACCCCCGCTCTTCTTTTTTTTCTCCCTTTCTCTCCCGTTCCATTTTTGCATGGTTATTTGCTGATTGCTTTTAGGGTTTTCTAGAATTGTTACAAAGATGTATGTGTTTCCTATGCTCATCAGCTCCATCTAGTGGCCATAATGTAGTACGTTACTAGAGCCCATAATAAAAAAAAAAAACATCAATTCAGAAGGGGAAATAGCCATTTTTGCCCCATTCAGTGAGAACAAATGTATTTGCAGATTCACTGTAATTTTTTCTTAATATAGTATAGATATAGATCCCTAAGTAATTAATATGTACGGCTTCACTAACAAATGCCAAAGTTGCAAAACTGAGTTCAGGCTTTAAGGTTTGCTTTACCTTTGTCATTAGGAGGTTAAAGATGCACTCTCACATTTCCCATGCAAAGTAAAGTGACTCTGGAAAGGACCCTTTTAGATCCTCTATACTCCTCTACTCTATACTTTACCAGAGATACCTCATCGCTCCTACCCAGCTTTCATTGAAATGGCTGGTGTTGAAGAACTAAGGGAATGGTGACTTCAGATCCCCACCCCACCATCCAGTTATGTGGCATTGTTCGGACTCATTGATTGATTGCTAGACCTGAGAAGGTCATGTGCTCCTACATTCTTGGAAGTACTGACTGTTGTGGACGGTTGCAGAATAGGAAGGAATAGCGGGGTAGAGCAGATAACAAAAGAAACTCGGGGTGCTTTCTCAAAGACACTGTCAATTTGCCCTACATGGCTAATGTGATAATGTCTCTTTATTGATTCTTGCTCTGTAAGGTGTTCAACATTGAAATCAATGCCACATGAATTTGTGGTGCTTTGTTTCTCTTGTAGAGACACGTATATGATGCAACTAATATACCATTTCCTATCTGTATACAGGCGCACCTTGGTTTACGAACGCCTCGGGTAACGTAATTTTCAGTTTACGAATTAAAATACATTAAAAATAATGGCTCAGTTTACCATTTTTTTTTGCAAAATGAACGGATTAATTGGCTTTCAATGCATTTACAAATTTTTTTTTTTAATCATGTCCCTTTATTCCTATAAAGTGCACTCTATAGAGAGTTTTGAACAGATAAAACTTTTTTTGACTTTTTGCTGACCTCCAGAATGGATTAATTGGTTTTCAATGCATTTACAAATTCATTTTTAATCATGTCCCTGTACAGTATTTATGCCTTTAACCACAAGCCTACAGGGCACTTATACCCCCCTTCCTGCCCAGGCCAACTTCCAGCTTTCAGCGCTGCTGCACTTTGAGTGACAATTGCACGGTCATGCAACACTGTACCCATATGAAATTTTTATCATTTTTTTCTGACAGATAGAGCTTTATTTTGGTGATATTTAATCACCTCTGGGTTTTTTATTTTTTTCTTAAACAAACCAAAAACCACTGAAAATTTTGAAAAAAAAAAGTTTTTTCTTAGTTCTTGTTATAAAATTTTGTAAATAAGTGATTTTTCTCCTTCACTGATATGCGATAATGAGGCTGCAGTGATGGGCACTGATAGGCTGCACTGATGGACACTGATAGATGGCACTGATGGGCACTGATGAGGAGACACTGGTAGGTGGCACTGATGGGCATTGACAGGCATCACTAATGGGCACTGAAAGGCAGCACTGATACATGGCACTGATATATGGCACTGATATATGGCACTTATAGGCGGCACTGATAGGCGGCACTGATGCGCACTGATAGGCGGCACTGACTGGCACTGATAGGTGGCACTGATGCACTGATAGGCGGCACTGATTGGCATTGATAGGTGGCACGGACTGGCACTGATGGGTGACACTGAAAGGCAGCTCAGATGGGCACTGATATGTGGCATTGATGTGCACTGGTAGGCACTGATATGTGGCATTGATGTGGCACTGATGGGCACTGGCACGAGGCACTAATGAGCACTGACACAAGGCACTGATGGACACTGACAGGTGGCACTGCTGGGGCTACACTGATCATCAGGGCACACTGATCATCAGTGCCCTGATGATCAGTGTACATGTCCCCTCCGCTGCTCTCCTCTGCTCTCGAACTCTCAGCGTGACAGCTTGTGAGGAGAGAAATGCCGATAACTGGCATTTCCCTGTTTACATGTGATCAGCTGTGATTGGACACAGCTGATCACATGACCGAGCCGACATCTTCAGTTCTTTCCGTGATCGGTGATCTGCTGTGTCCAAGGGACACAGCGCACCGCCAATAGCCGCGGATGCGCGGTGAGAATGGGAGGATGTCATATGACATCCTCCCAGAACGAGAGGACCACCTTGCGTCCGTCATATTACTATATGGCAGGCGGGAGGTGGTTAAAGTTCCCTTTTTTAAAGAGTTTTGAACAGATAAAATATTTTTTTTTTACTGTTTTTTGACCTCCGGAACGGAATAATTAGTTTTCAATGCATTCCTATGGGAAACCGCGTTTCGGTTTGCAAATTTTTCACAATACGAAAAGTCCTGCAGAACAAATTAAATTTGTAATTCGAAGAACGCCTGTATAGTTGCCAACTGTCCTGGACACTCATGAATTTTCAAGAGCTGTCCTGACATGACCTTGTCTTGGGCTGTATCCTAGAAATCAAGGTCTGTCACAGATGATGTGCATTCAAATAAAGGCAAGTGTCTGCTCTATATGCTGTCAGGGGACAGGTTCACAGCACTCTGAATGAACAGACATGCGGCACACAGTGAGGACACAGATCCTTCCCCCTTCCGTCTCCCCCAGAAGTTGAGCTGTGTTCTGGTGGCTCTCAGTATAGACTGAGGTCAGGTGGAGCCTTGTGCCCTGCAGTGATTGGGCAGGACTCGAGGAGAGAATGTGGCCTTCCTTGGAGGTGCATCAAAGAACACACGTGTGAGGCAGGCTCAGTGAGCACCTGTATATGAGTCAGTGCCCCTTACAGCCATGTATAATCTTTTGATTTCTCAGCTATCATTGGAAATGTAGTCCATTCTTTTTCTCTGTGATGGATTGTCAGATAGAGGTACTGCTCTTTGAAATGTGGAGTACATGTTGTGCCTGTTACTTGTAATTGGTTCCCTGCTTATTCATTTCTGAGCAGCAAGGCTTCCCTGTCCACCTCCCTGTGCTAGAGTGTTCCAGTTTATGGCAGATGCTTCCAATAACCTAATGTCTAACCTGTGCCATGCTGCTGCTTATTAATGTTCAAGAACAGGTGGAAAAATGAAAATCCAGCACAACGAAATATATACTAGTTTTGTTGTATGAATCTGAAGGCCTTTTATTTAACCCCTTCACGCCTAAGGGTAAAACAAATCTAAATGCCTAAGCACAATTTTGCAACGTTGACATGTGATAGAAAAACCGTACATATCATCACAACTACTTTGTACACCCAGGTGAATTATACCGCGTTTTTTTCAGGACAAATTGGGCTTTCATTTGGTGATAAATGGTAATGGATATCTCCTGATTTTTTTTTATCAAAGGAAAACTGGCCCAAAATATAAAAAAAAAAAAATTTTTTTTATTTAGCTGTGTGTTTCTTGTTACTACCATAACCTACCACCAAAGAACGACCCAAAATAAATTCTCCAGCTCTTGAAGATCGCAGCAATACCATATATGTGTATGTTATTTGTTGTTTGTACCCGTAGTACAGCCCAGAAACAATAGTGCGCACTCCCAGCACAAAGACACGGAAAAAAGCCCAGTTCTGTGAGGCTGCATATTTGTGTTACGCCAGCATCAAGGGGTTAAAGAGAACAAGTCACAAAATGATTTAAGCAGGAATGCCCTTCTGAGGATTTACCCCACTTCCTGATCAGGCCATTTTTTGCGTTACGGCGCTGCATTACTTTAACTGACAATTGCGCAGTCATGCAACGTTGCACCCAAATGAAATTTACTTGTTTTCCCACAAATTGAGCTATCTTTCGGTGGTATTCGATCACTTGTGCATTGTTTATTTTTTGCACTATAAAATAAAGACCAACAATTTTGAGAAAAAAACTGTATTTTTGACTTTTTGCTATTAAACATGTCCAGTAAAAAAAAATTTAAAAAATCAAATTTTGTCATAAATTTAGGCCAAAATGTATTCTGCTACATGTCTTTGCCCCAAAAAAAATCCCAATACGTGAAATTAGTTGGTTTACGTGAAAGTTATAGTGTTTACAAATGGTAATATATATACAGGGACTTTTTTTTTTAACTAATAATGGCAGCAATCAGCAACTTATAGCGGGACTTCTGACACTGGGGGGAACTGACTTGATGTCACTGACATCCCCAGTGACACCAATACAGTGATCAGTGCTAATAAAAAGCACTGACACTGTAGTAATGGCACTGGGCAGGAAGGGGTTAACATCTGGGGCTATCAAAGGGTTAACTGTGTGCTGTGTGTGTTATTACTATGAGGGCTGTGTGTGTGCTTTCCATTGTAAGCACACTGCTATGCAGAGCCATACAAAGCAGTGTACTGGATCTGACAGGGGAAAGAACTGTATGCCACTGTTGGTGGCTACTTTCATAATAACACTGGCGCAAAGTCGTTTTTTTACTGCACTTTTGGCGTGCTTTATGAGCGTTTTTAGAGGACACGTGACTTAAAAATTGCACCAATAACGCTTCTCAGAGGCGTTTTTGAGGTGGTTTTCAAGCATTTTCCATTGATTTCAGTGGGAAGAGGCGTTTTTGGAGCGTTTTTTGAAACTCACCAAGCATGCCCCAAAGATGCTGCAAGAAGGAGGTTTTACACCGCACAGCAAGCGCAACACCTCAGTGTGAAAACATACATAGATATACATTCACTTACATAAGGAAGCGTTTTTCTTGAGTTTTTATAACGCAACAACGTTTCAAAAACTGCTCAGTGTAAAAGTAGCCTAATATTCGTCAATCACCCGATGGCTGCGAGTAATCACCAGCCAGGTGCTAGCGATTTATCACCGGCCGGGACCCGGTGATTGACAGCCGAGGCTGCGAATAGCGGTATATAGGGTATATACATGATTTTGCACACCCCTGTCGCTCTGTAGCAGTATTTCTGCTATAGGGCGACGGGAAAGCGGTTAAAAAGCAACAGTATGGCTTTACTATACAGTAGCGCTTCTTTAGACCTCATATACATGGGCTCTCCATAATCAGGCTGTTTGTTTACATGTCTGAAGCCACCAGGTGCTGTGTTCAGGCAGCTCATTTAAGTCTATAGGGATGCTGTACGGACACAGCCTCTCAACCTAACGTGACAGGCATGCGGGTGAACAGCCCTGAAGACACACTGTCTGCATTCAGGACCACTCACTTGAACCAACAAGCCTGTTACAGTAAGATGAATGGCTGGTTCCGTACAGCCTCTGCATCCCTTTCGCCCTAAATGAGCTGCATGAACACAGTACCTGGTGGCTCCAGACAGGTAATCAAACAAGAGGCCAATTCATGGTGTATGGGCCTCAGCACCTGTGTAAATGAGCCATTAAATAAAAAGCACTGCATATTTATAAAGCACAGCTGTATTAATAATAATAATAATAATAATAATGTGCTGTGTGTGTAAACAACACAGCATAATCGCAGCACCGGAAGTATAGCGTGAATCGTACTGCCCAGCATCAAACTGTCAATAGTACAGAAACACCAGCTAGGCCATCTTAATTATTGATTGGACCCTGGGCAAAAATTTTCTTGGGCCCCCCATTACATTTTTCTCTCCACCTGCTCTGATACATACAATTAATAGCAGCTAAACTCAAAATCAGTTTACTGCAGCAGACCAGGCAGCAATTGCAATTGATTTCTGGAGGTTACAGCATATCATTACCGCTCACTGACTGGTTGCTAGAAGTTACAGCACACATTATTGCTCATTGATTAGTTGCTAGAGGTTGCAGCACATGATTTCTTCTTGCTGATTGGTTGCTAGAGGTTACTGCACATCATTGCTGCTCACTGATTGGTTGCTAGAGGTTTCTGCACATCCTTACCGCTCACTGATTGGTTGCTAGAGGTTACTACACATCATTACTGCTTGCTGAATCGTTGCTAGAGGTTACTGCACATTATTACCACTCACTGGTTGTTAGAGGTTACTGTACATAATTCCAGCTCACCCATTGGTTGCTAGAGATTACTGCACATCCTTACCACTCACTGATTGGTTGCTAGAGGTTTCTGCACATCCTTACCGCTCACTGATTGGTTGCTAGAGGTTACTGCACATCATTACTGCTTGCTGAATCGTTGCTAGAGGTTACTGCACATTATTACCACTCACTGGTTGTTAGAGGTTACTGTACATAATTCCAGCTCACCCATTGGTTGCTAGAGATTACTGCACATCCTTACCACTCACTGATTGGTTGCTAGAGGTTTCTGCACATCCTTACCGCTCACTGATTGGTTGCTAGAGGTTACAGCACATCATTACTGCTTGCTGAATTGTTGCTAGAGGTTACTGCACATTATTACCACTCACTGACTGGTTGTTAGAGGTTACTGCACATCATTACAGCTCACCCATTGGTTGCTAGAGGTTACTGCACATCCTTACCACTCACTGAGTGATTGCTAGAGGTTACAGCATTTAATTATGTCTCACTGATTGGTTGCTGAAGGTTACAGCACATAATCTCCTCACTGCCTGTACACCATGGACTGAGAAGGTTAGGGGAACCACCAATAGACAGAAAACTCCTAGGACTCCTGGGATTAATGGCAGTGCTGGGCGGGAGGGGTTGATGGAATCGGTGGCAGTGGTAGGGGGATGGGATCAGTGGCAGTGGTGGGAAGGATGGGATCAGTGGCAGTGCTGGGGAGGATGGGATCAGTGATAGTGCTGGGGGGATGGGATGAGTGACAGTGCTGATGGGGGGATGGGATCAATGGCAGTGCTTGGGGTGGATGGGATCAGTGGCAGTGCTGGATGGGGATGGGACATGACATTTCTACACCGACCACCACTGTTAGGGGGGATTAAAACTGATGACCAATGTAAGGGGGATTTACCCTGACCGACGGTGTAAGAGCAATTCTGCACTTACCACCAATGTAAAGGGAAATTTACAATGGCTACCAATGTAACGGGGAATCTGCACTGACCACCAATGTAAAGAAGAATGTAAACTAACACCCAGTGTAATGAGGGATTTTACAACCACAACCAATAAATTTCTACACTGGCCACCAATGTAAGGTTGGAATTTACACTGACC